AGGGTACATTGGACAAAGCATAGAACTAGGAGACTTGTGTTCTATCCCACACTCAGCCACAGATTCACCTTGGGCAAGTCATGTCCCCAAACTGTACCGGAGTTTCCCCATCTGTAAAAAGCGATAATGAAACTGACCTCCTTTGTGCATTGTTTTGAGATCTGTACCATCAGTTTAGATCCAGTTGCAAAATGGGAAAAACTTCCTACCTGTCAGGGTGGTTAAGCACCAGAATAAATTGCCTAGGGAGGTTGTGGAATCCCTGTCATTGGAGGTTTTTAAGAGCAGGTTGTCAGTGATGGTCCAGATACTTAATCCTTCCTTGAGTACAGAGGACTGGACTAGAAGACCTTTCGAGGTCCCTTCCAGTCCAATGATTCTATGGGGAGACTTAGACTGTAAGGGCTTGTCTACCTGGGAAATTGAGCAGTAAAACTATGCCAGTATAATTACACCACTATAGTTATACTGGTAACTCCCCGGGTGGACTCTCTAATTCCAGAGTAATTAAGTGTCTTTTTCCAGAATAGCTTTAGCTGCTTCCAAAGCAACGTAAGTTAAATCAGAAAAAGCCACTCTCACTCCAGAATCAGACTGTCCCCATGGGGAGTTTTGCCAGTATAACTATAGGGGTGTAAATTCACACTGTATCTTACACTGGTATAACTTCCCATGTAGATCTGCTCTAAATTCCCTGCTCCACGTAGCAGAGACCAGCTCTCCCTCTCTGAACAAAGCACACCATTAATGCTCAATACATAATAATACTATAGCTTGATCGGAGTGTGGAATTTTACCTGGAGTTTATAAAGCACTTTGGCACCTGTGTGATGACCAGGGCTTCTTAAAACCAAGTTTAATATTCTACAGGAACAAAAATTGAGGGGAAATTCCTCAACCATCTTTTCGTTCTGTGTTCGTACCGCACTTCGCAGAATGGGGTTCTAGTCCACAACTCAGCCTCCTAGGGATGCGGTGGTAATAAAAATAACAGGACTTGGAAAGAACAAAGGACCAGATCATCAGCTGGTACAAATCTATGTAGGCCAATTGAAGTCAATGAATCGAACCTAATGGACACCCAACTGCTGCACTCACTCCAGATTGGTTTAACTTTAAATACAGAATCGTAGAAAAGCAGAGCTGGAAGGGACCCCTTTGTTTATTTGTAAGTCACTCTGGTTCAGGTGCAAGGGTAGGGGCTTGCTGGTTGGTGGATCTGGCCATATTCGAAGGGTGACCCACCACTGGTAACACCTGCAGTTTGCTTGGTGCAAGCCTTAACCACAGATTCTAGCCCGGTCCTGAACACTCGTCATCCTTGTCCACCCTTGCAGCTCAGTTGTGTTTAGTACCCATCCAGCTGTAGTCATTGCCAACACCCACCATTGGCAAGGGGGAATTCTTCTAGTGTAGAGCAGGTTTCTGCATCTGAAAGATTCCTAGTCTCAGCTTGTCCTCGCTGATGCTATTTCTGGGTTCATGACGCAGTTGTTTGCTCTTATTTTTCATGTTTACCCTTTGCAAAACCTACAAGGAAGTAAGCCCCTTTTGTCAAGCTGGTTCCTCTTCTGCTTATCCTTTCTAAGAAGGGAAAATTTCAGTTTCTTTTTTTTTTTTTTCTGAGGCCTTTTCCCATCACATGGCATTTCTTACACAAATCCCTTCTCTTCCACTCTAAAGTCAAGTCATGCAGGGGTGTGTAAGTCACATTTCTCGAACTCATCGGGAACTACCACCTGCCTCTCACCCATTTGAAACACCAATCCACAGCCAACTGCTGCTAATACGCATCTTCCCCAATGGCAGCAAAGAGGAACGGATTAAGATCTGAACGAGATCTTCGGCTGACCAGGGTGCCAAGCACCAGAAGAGCCTCCTCTCCTTCCACGTTTGACCACTTCCAAGCTAATCTGGAGTCGGACCAATCTAATGGGGACCAATCCCTATGGCCCTGAGAAAGAGTAGAGGAGGACCTGCCACCCACGTTTTCAAGAGGTCGCTAGGCTCCCAGGAACAAGGGCTTTAGTCACCTTGTGGCCCAAAGAGGCCAGGAACGGGGTGGGAGGGCTGAGAGTACGATTCCCCCAGCATCCATGGGCACCAGGTTTGTATAATTTTTAGTGGTGCCCAGAACGGGTCCAAGCAGAGCTGTCCCATCCATAGGACTGATTTGGGCAACCCCCCTTGGGCCCCGCACTTTGGGGAGCCCCATGCTTCAGGGGGATGCGGGGTCCAGGGCGGCCTGGGGGGTTAGCTGGGGGCCTGCCACCAGCAGCAGCAAGTGACCCGGCCCCAGCCCACTCCGCCACGCCGGCTCCCGATGTTGCTTGGGGGAGGGGAGCAGAAGCCAGAAAGAGGCGAGGCAGGGGTGGGGGGGAAGGGGCGGAATGGGGGTGGAGGTGGGTGGGCTGGGGCCGGGTCACTTGCTGCTGCTGGCCCCAGGCCCCTTGTTAACCTCCCAGGCTGCCCCTGAAGCTTGGGGCCCCCCAAAGCGCAGGGTCCGGGGCAGTTGCCCCAGTCCGTCCTATGGAAGGGATGGCTCTGATTAAATATAAGTCCAAACAATGGTGGAGACGGGCCCACATTCCTGAATACTGGTGAAGCCCGGGCACCACGGGCCCATATAACTCGCCACCTATGCCAGCATCCCCAGGATTCTGATTTGCTAGGAGCTGTGTTTAGCCTTCACCTACTACCGAGGTATTAATCACCTCCCAGCTTACCCAGCCCTCACTTTCACGAAGGGTTAAAGCCACAGTGACACGTGGGCGCAGCAGCACCTCAGAGATGGCAAAGCAGCTTATCTTTATTGCCGACTAAAACAGACCTTTGCCTTGAGTGCATTTCCCCTCCCGCTCCTCCACTTTGCTTAAAGGTTTCGGGTGAGTTTCCTGTTCTTCCTGGAGCACATGTCCCTCACTTGCCTCCCCATCCGCCAAACCCACTCAGCACCTTTCCCTGAGACCAAATCCTGTCAGAGGCTTCCCCACCCACCTCAAAAAAAGGTGATGTGGAAATTCAGCCACTGGCCCTGTGTCGAGGAGAAAGGCCAGCAGGGAGGTGGGAAAACATTGCATATCATGGGGCAAAGGGGGATCCGCAGAAGCACAGAAGGGGAAGGAGAGGCAGAGAGACTCTGAGTAGCAGCTGTAGCTCTGAGCAGAAGCTGGCTCACCCTCTTCTGTGGGAGCAATAAAACTGCCATTCGTGTGTTGTACAGTCTGATGCTGTTTCAGGAAGTGCATACATATCTCCCGAAGGAAACATGTTCTAGGCAAGGCCTTAGCCCACACAAAGGAACTTGGGGCAAATTCCACCACTGGATGCACAGCGGACAGGATGGTAACTAAACACTTGCCTGCAGTGTGTGTATGTATGTACAGCGCCTAACAGCTTGGGCCTCGGGGCAATGCTGCATTACAAATGAATACTCCTACTGCTAATATTATTCCAGGAAGCACAACTCACAGCCACAGGGCTGGCAAACTAGGGTCACCAGGCTCCATAGCTCCTGACCCCAGAGAAGTAGCCACCCCAACAACTTCCCCATTCCCCTTTACGACTTGCTCTGACAGAAAGCCACACATCTGCCCCCTCTGCTCCCTTCCTGTCTGCACGCACAGGCCAAACAGAGAGTGCTGCTGGCCCGTGCAGCTGGGGGCCCCCCCGCACTGCCACCTGGGAAGGTGCTGAAATGATTCATTAATTTCAAAACCATACACGTGACTGGTTATGTCTGGTAAGTCAGCCTGGGAAGACAGTGCCCGCGGCTGCAGAGACACGGTGAGCCAGGGGACTGCAGATTTCTGCAGCATTAATCCAGAAACGCATCCCAATCCAAATTCAAAAATCATTTGGGTGTATTTAAGCCTTTAATCCACCTTCATTTACTTGTTTTATAAGAAAACACTGCAGGGCTGTCCTGATTAACTGCTCTAGGTTGTCGTGTTTTGGCATGACTATAAAACACTGGAGAATATATTTTAACAAAGGGGTTCCACGCCCCCTCTTCTGGCAGTCAACTTACAGTGAAATCTTTGGCCCTGATCCTGCAAATACTTATTTACACATTTAACATTAAGCACTTGAATGGTATTAACTCATCTGCTCATATGCCTAATTCAAGCATATTTTGTTAACCTCTGAGGATAGCACAAGAAGCAATGGGGCTAAATTGCAGCAAAGGAGGTTTAGATTGGATATCAGGAAAAACTTCCAAACTGTCAGGGTGGTTAAGCACTGGAATAAATTTCCCTGGGAGGTTGTGGAATCCCCGCCATTGGAGATTTTAAACAACAAGTTAGACAAACACCTGTCAGGAATGGTCTAGTTATTACGCAGTCCAGCCATGAATGCAAGGGACTGGACTAGATGATTTTTCAAGGGCCCTTCCAGTCCTACACGTCTATGATTAGGGCCCTTAATTGTCCTGACCAGTGACAGAGGACTGTACATTCCCAAGCCCTTTCTAGTTAACCCTCACAACCCCAGGGGAGGTCGTCAAGTGGCATTAGCCCCATTTTATAGGTGGGGAAATGGAGGCCCGGAGACGGGCGGCAACTCGCCCACGGTGCAACTGGACCAGCTTGGCGTGCCTATTTTCCAGACCCCTGGGCTAATCACTTCTCCCCACCGCCCGCCCATGAGACCCCCCCCCCCCAAACCAAACCAGCAGGACCTGCCAGTGATGCCCCCAGAGCTGTCACTGGCCTCGGGGCTGCGCCTGAGTGCCCCCCCCCCCCCGTGGCCCTGCACCGTCGCCACGCAAGCTCCTAGGCACCAGTGGCTGGATTCCTGCTGCTTTAGTCCTGTGCCCCCCCCGGGGAAACAGGCGCCGCGAGCCTTGCCCCATCCCGGGAGCTGCGGTGTCCCAACCCCAGCGGCCGCCAGCTCGCTGGACCCCTCCCTTCCCCTTTGTCCCGCTCGCGGCTGGGATGCTGCACCCCGGGGCGCTGGGCTGGGAGAGGGGAGGAAGCGCCCGCGCGGCTCGTCCTCACCCAATTCCTCCTCCCGTCTCTGCACCGGAGCTTTGCAGCGCTCAGAGCGGGGCCGATGCGGCTGGAGCTGCCGCTGCGCGCTAGTTCATCCTCCCCGGCTTCCCTGCCTGCTTCTGCGCCGGCTTCCTCGCCCTAGGAAAGCGGTGGCGGGGGAGGGGGGGGGGGAACCGATTGCATGCGAAAGGAAGGAGTGGAGAAAACGAATCGACCATAGATGCAAATCGGGAGACCGCTTCAGCTCCCTCTAGAGGCTCCTTCTCGCCCAAAGCTGCTCACTGGGTCCTTCCAGAGCTCCTTCCACCGTGGCTGGGTGCTGGGGCCATGCGGATTTCAGACACGGGAAGGGGGCTGAATCAGCCACTACGCTCACAGGAACCTTTCTGGGAAATTTTTCAGAGGAACAGCCGTTTTAGTCTGTATTCGCAAAAAGAAAAGGAGTACTTGTGGCACCTTAGAGACTAACCAATTTATTTGAGCATGAGCTTTCGTGAGCCACAGCTCATGAAGTGAGCTGTGGCTCACGAAAGCTCATGCTCAAATAAATTGGTTAGTCTCTAAGGTGCCACAAGTACTCCTTTTCTTTCTGGGAAATAGCTTTCTTCAGAGAAAAGCAAACACAACAGTATCATAGAATATTAGCGTTGGAAGGGACCTCCGGAGATCATCTAGTCCAACCCCCCTGCTCAAAGCAGGCCCAATCCCCGATTTTTTTTGCCCCAGATCCCTAAATGGCCCCCTCAAGGATTGAACTGGCAACTCTGGGTTTAGCAGGCCAATGCTCAAACCACGGAGCTATCCCTCCCATGCATCAAAAGAGGAGAAGCAATTCTTCCGCTCTACTCCGCACTGATAAGGCCTCCGTTGGAGTATCCAGGTCTGGGCACCACATTTCTGGAAGGATGTGGACAAAGGGAGAAAGTTCAGAGGAGAGCGACAAAAACGATTAAAGGTCTAGAAAACGTGACCTACGAGGAAAGAGCGAAAAAATGGGGGTTGTTTGGTTTGGAGAGGAGAAGTCTGAGGGGAGGGACATGATAACCGTTTTCAAGTATGTAAAAGGTTGTTCCAAGGAGGAGGGTGAAAAATTTTTCTCATTTATCTCTGAGGATAGGACAGCAAGCAATGGCCTTAAATTGCAGCAAGGGAGGTTTAGGTTGGACATTAGGAAAAAGTACTTCCTGTCAGGGTGGTTTAGCACTGGAACAAATTGCCTAGGGAGATGGTGGATTCTCTGCAATTGGAGTTTTTTTAGAGCAGGGGTTCTCTGAGTCAGGACCCAAAATTGGGTCGTGACCCCATTTTAATGGGGTGGACAGGGCCAGTATTGGACTTGCTGGGACCCAGGGCTGAAGCTGAAACCCAAGCTCCACCCCCACCCAGGGTGGCGAGGCTTGGTCTGCACCCTCCCACCCCCAAGGTCATGTAATAACTTCGTTGTCAGAAGGGGGTCGCCGTGCAATGAAGTTTGGGTTAGACAAACACCTGTCAGGAGTGGTCTAGTTATTACTTAGGCCATGTCTACACATGCGCCACATGGGATGAAGATGCTCTATGCCGACAGGAGAGCTCTCCCGTCAGGATGAAGAAACCACTTCCACGAACGGCAGAAGCTATGGTGGCTGGAGAAGATCTCCTGCCAACATAGCACTGTGCGCAAGAGTGCTTATGTCAGTGTAATTTATGTCACTCGGGGGTGGTTTATTCACACCCCTGAGTGACATAAATTATGCCAACATAGGCTGTAATGTAGACATGGCCTAAATCCTGCCTTGAGTGCAGGGGGCTGGGTTAGATAACCTATTGAGTCATTCCAGTCCTACACTTCGGTGATTCCTATGGTGGCTCTGCATGGGCTTCCTGGGACCCTGGGTGTGAGAGTGTGCTAAGTGGACAAGAATTCAAGGGACTGGAGGGAGGTGAGAAGACAATACCAGTGAAAGAGTGTCCCCAGTTGTGGATGCGGAGGAGGTAGAGAAAAGAGGAGCAAAGAGTAGGGGAGTTAAAATCTTGGAGGGTGAGTTTGCTGTGAACCTGAGGAATATCAGGAAGCTGTTGGAAGGGACAGATTTTGGGGAGTGTTATGGTTGCTAGACTTTTTCCCACTATATATTCATAGGCACCTAGCTGAACAGGGCCCGGATCATGGCTGGGGCCTCTAGGTCAGTGGTTCTCAACCAGGGGTACATGCATACCCCTTCCAGGGGGTACATCGACTCATCCAGATATTTACCTAGTTTTACAACAGGCTGCATAGACAGCACTAGTGAGATCAGTACAAACTAAAATTTCATACAGACAATGATTTGTTTATACTGCTCTATATACTATACACTGAAATGTAAGCACAATATTTATATTCCAAATGATTTGTTTTATAATGATATGGTAAAAATGAGAAAGGCAGCAATTTTTCAGTACTACTGTGCTGTGACACTTCTGTATTTTTATGTCTGATTTTGTAAACAAGTAGTTTTTAAATGAAGTGAAACCTGAGGGTACGCAAGACACATCAGACTCTCGAAAGGGATACTGCAGTCTGGAAAGGTTCAGAGTCACTGTTTTAGGTGCTACCTCAATACAAATAGCTAGTAGCTAAAAGCCTGTACAGTGGCTGTGACAGATAGGGCAACTTCCTGAAATAACTTGGGGAGACCATATTGTATTAAGTGTATGAGCAGTTTATGTATCATGGTGGGCCACAGCTGCCCCACCAAGTGAAAACAGTAGGAGATGATTCCGGCAAATCACTGAGATTATTACACCCCAGAGAGGTACTGCCTCCTAGGGACGCTCATATATTCTGGTTCAAATGGGGTTCTCCAAGGACCACCAGGTAAAGAAAGGACTTAAACCGAGGGCTTCATTCTGGTCCCTGATCTAAAGACTGATATGAACTTCTAACCACAGGGAAAACCGATTTGTGGGGCTTGAGGGACCGACACCAACCACCAGGGCCCTCGGTTGGATTTGGGGCTGATCTCTGGTAGGCTTTTAGCACGCATGTAGCTTCTTTACTTGTTTTGAAATGCTTTCTCTGTAATGCTTCCACCTTGACAACAAATGTGTTTGCTCAGAAGGAGCTGTGTGGTACCTTGTAACTGCAGGCAATACACTGGTCCCAGCCCTTGGAGGGAAAGGAACGCACGGGTGCTGGCCTTTTTCGGCACACTGGCTTGCTGGGGTATCACAGTGTAGAAGATAGGGACCTTTGCAGCCTTAAAACCTCGGGTCCAGAGGGAGTGAGACACAGGTCTCTGCCTAAGAGAGGTAATGGCTGGGAGCCAGAAACCTTTAAGTTGAAGCCCTTGAGAGGGACCACAGAAGTTCGCCTGCAATGGTGACAATGCCATGGGTGTAGTCCATAAAGTCACGTGTGTGTGTTTGAAAAAAAGAAAAGCAAAGCTGAAAATGGCTGAGAACTTAAAGATTGGATGGCAACAGACTGCAAACACCAGCGATGATTGAACCTGGTGACGTTCTGTACAAGAGCTCTTGGCCATGCATGTAGCCGCTTCCCTCCCTTCACACTGACTCAGACATTCTAGGCTCCAGAATGATGTTTAGGGTTATTGTGTGTGCTGACTCTGTGGGTGTGTTGATCGGTGTGTGTGGGTTGGGTTGTTCTGGGAGAGTTGTGTGGATTTGTGCAGGGGGTAGCTGAGGGATGTGTGCTGCAGGGAGGGGGTATGAGTGTTTGGGGGGTTGTCTGCTGGTTGTGGTGTGGTGTGGGTGGTTGTGTTGACTTGTGTCTGGAGGTGTTGTGCTGGGAGATTTGTGCTCATTTGGGCAGGTGGCAGCTGGGTGCACAGGTATGGCATTAGGGCCAAGTAATCCCCACCAGTGCAGTCTCCCTCATACAACCAATTAAATTATTGCGTGCAAATTAGCTGTAGAGTAAGGGTGACCAGTTGTTACCTTTGTACAATGGTCTCTAGATCTCTTGGCATGTTGTAGATTCATGCGTGACTGTAGCTGTGTGCTGCACGGGTGTAATTCAAAAGGTCAAAATGGCTATGAACTTAAAAACTGGGTGGTAACGGATCGTGGAGACCAGGGATGATTGAACGTGGGGATATTCTAAGCAAAAAGGGCTCTCAGCCATGCTTGTAGCTGCTTCCCGCGCTTCTCACTGACCCAAAAGACGTTTGAGGCTTCAGCTTGACACACAGAGCAACATTCCTAGAATCTTATACAGATAAAGGAAATAAACGGGGGGCAAAACGAGAATAATAAGTCACTTCGGGGGAGATTTCCACCCGCAATAGGGGCTAGATCTTCACCCAGAAGCTCCCTTTTGTTACACTAAATTGCCAGATATTTTTGGTTCCTAAATGAGCACTGAGCTCTTTTGAAAATTCTAGCCATATGGGCTGGTGGGGGGGAGGGAAGTAAATTAATAAAATCTAGCCTAGCCCTTCTAGTGACACAGCAATGTCACTAGGGATTTCGCTATTCATTTTACGTGGACAGCGCTCGGATGTGGAGGAGCAGCAGCATGAACAGTGACAAATAATAATAACTGATTCCTGTATATTATTATTGTTTATTACAGTCACACCAAGGAACCCCAGTCATGGCCCAGGACCCCATTGTGCTAGGTGCTGTACAGACACAGAACAAAAAGACGGTCCCTGCCCTTACAATCTAAGCGATAGAATAGTCGTTATTGATAGATTATCTGCATCCCTTCCCTCCCCCGTGGAACTCTAGAACTCCTGGGAGTTTCTGAACTGTTGGAGGGAGGGGGGGTGAGTTTCAATTTGAATCCTTGGTTCTAAACTGTTGACAAACCTCAGCCTGGCTGTCAGGGTGACCTCACCAGATCCCCTCCTGTGGCGGCCGAGAGAGATGGATCCTCTGACCGTTGCCCCTGTTTCCAGCAGGCCCTCGGTGCTCCAGCTTGTTAGGAACCTCTTTGGGCTCAGGCAGAGTGCACAGGAGGGCCCAGAAACCAGAGCAGACGCACAAGAGCAGAGTAATGTTGGGGACCGAGAAGAAAACAGCTCCCTGGTGCCTGCTGGGGCTGAGTCTGAGACCAGCCAGCCAGTAGGCAAAGAGCTAACTGGCGACCACCCGACCGATGAGCCCCATGGAGATGCAACAGGCGACCGCATAGGGGAGCTCCATGGCGAGCTGAAGGATATCAGTCTTGGGGGCACCCCTTCCAGCCGTGGCAGGAGATCCCCTCCTACGCTGGACCACAGGGGCATGGAGATGGGAGACCCTGGTGACTGGGCCTTGTCAGACCTCTCCGAGAGCGGGAGCTGCATTGGCGCCAGTGTGGACGAGGAGGAGAAGCAGAGCATGGGAAGTGGAGCAACAGGGGAGGCATGCGGGCAGCGCCCTGGGACAGGAGATGTGGGAGGAGCATCTGCTGAGAGATGGCCCTTGGGGAGGTAAGGCATTGATGACACAGACGGCTGATGGGAAGTAGGGAACAGGGATGGGGCTGCAAATCACATAGGAGTGAATGAAAGACTTGGAAGCACTACGGGCAAAGTGTAACTCCAGCGGTGTGAGTGGACTGAATCCAACCCCTGCTGTTTGTGATTAGTCATAAGAATATTCAGGGTCAGGGGGAGGCAGCTTTGCCGTGCTATTTCCTGAGCACTGGTGCAGTGTAACAGCGTTGTCTTCGCGTGCTGTTGATTTAACTTTTCAGTGAGCTCACTTTCTATTTCCTGGTTTCAAAGGTTTGAGTGCAGCTGACCTTAACGTTCTGGAAAGGCACAAGGCAGCTCCAAGCAATCTTATTTCTGCATTAACAAGTTTGTCGTCCGTGGCTCAGTCTAGCTAATGGCAGATCTGAGTTTTAGGCCTGTTTTTTTTTTTTTGCTCTTAAAACGGCCCATTAACGCTGTTGCTGCTCTGCTAGTGTGCACCGGCTGCTGGTGTTTGATCACTCTGCTGTCCAGACCTGCTCTGAACACGCTATGCTAGCAACTCCACTGTCACTATCACCATAGCAAGGGGGAGAGATGGTAAGATAAATACCAGTCTGGACACAGCCTTATAGAAGACACACTCATTGCTCAGTTACAATCCTATGTTTCTCTTGTGTGGCTGTCCTTAATCCAGTTCAGGGGCTGGAAACAAGGAGGAGAACTTGTATCAACTGATCAGCCAGCTCTTCGTGGGCCACCAGAACCTGCTCCTTGGGCCACAGAAGAGTTGCGAGAGATTCTGCTCTAGGCCTATGAGCTTCCCAGCAATTCCAGCCTGGGGGAAGCTACGATTCAAACAACAGGCATCTCCTCTCACTAGTAACATGATACATCTGCAAATGGGTGTGGCTGGAGTGTGTGTGAGGGCGGGGGAGTGGGGGGAAGAGAGAGGTATCAAGGATGCCAGGAAATGGGTTTGAAAGTGTTAAGTGTGAAGCGGGGAGAGGTACTAAGACCACTGGGAGATGGTGTTGACAGCTGAAGGTAATTAAGAGCATCAGATCTTTGAGATCCCATCTCTTATGTATCGACTGTGAAGGGGGATCCAAGTACAATGCAATGCTGTGCTGACGTGGGGAAGGCACGGTTTGGTCATGCAGGGCGATAAGACTGAATTGTGCTGGAGCTCAGCAGCGTCCAAGGTCGCTGCATGATTCAGGAACTTGGTGCTAATGCTGCTTGGACTAACCTTCATTGCAAGACTGAGCTATCTCTTTTAACCGCCTCAGATCAGAGATCCCACGCACCCTGGCCCTGATTCTCCATTGCCCTGGCTTTGCAGAGTCCTGTACGCCAGTGCAAGGAGGGTGGCAGATGCTCCCAGATCAGAATGGCAGTGTTTTATACCCACTGTGGACTGGTGTAAATGGTGGGGTGCAGGACTGTGGAGAATAAGGGTCCCTGATTGTCACGATGCACAGGTGACCTTAGAGCTGATGTGGAAAAATGTTCCATGCAAAAAGCAGCCTGCACAACAACTGAGAACTAAGACCCAGGTCTACACTAGAAAAGGTTTGCTGGTGTAGCTACACTGACGAATGCTCCTAGTGTAGATGCAGTTCACACTAGTAAAGGATTAGGGCTTTTGCCAGTATAGAAAAGACACCAAAAAAATCACACCCCTACCCACCATTTCCCCTCCTATGCTGGACCCCAGTGGCTTGGAGACGGGAGACTTCAGTGGTTTTGTCAACACTGCTGTGAGCCAGTGGGAACCAGCAAAAATTTCTAGTGTAGACCTGGCCGAACTCATCCGTGGAGCTGTAAAACCATCAGAAATGGACTTCTTTCTTTGCTTTTTTATTATTGTTGCAAGGAATGAATTATCTCCCAGTGGCCAGTGGAGTTGTTTCCTTTTGGACCATTTGCTCTAACCATACCTACAGCAAAAGTAATATTTTTAGCTTCCTTATTTAACCAGTATCCCTTTCTGGAGCAATTCGCCCACATTTCCGCTGACCTTTCTTTTCCTTCCATCTTGTTGTGACAGTTCAAAGTGGAGAGCTTTCAAATCAATGCCAAATGACTGGGCTGGGGGGTGGAGGGGGAATTCCATATAAATAAGTCATCTTGCTATTACTGAATGTTTCATGAGCGCCCACCATTTCTCTGGCTGCTCCCTTCTTGTACAGCAGCTCAGCTCGATTGGCCTTCCGCCTCCCCTGCAGAACTCTGGGGCAGTTCTGAATTCTGAAGGCGGCCATATTTCAATGGGAATCCCTGGTTCCAAACTGTTGAGAAACCCCAGCCCAGCTGTCAGAGTGACCTCACCAGATCCCCTCCTGTGGCGGCTGAGAGAGATGGATCCTCTGACTGTTGCCCCTGTTTCCAGCAGGCCCTCGGTGCTCCAGCTTGTTAGGAACCTCTTTGGGCTCAGGCAGAGTGCACAGGAGGGCCCAGAAACCAGAGCAGACGCACAAGAGAGAGGGGACGTCGGGGACCGAGAAGAAGACAGCTCCCTGGTGCCCGCTGGGGCTGAGTCTGAGACCAGCCAGCCAGTGGGCAAAGAGCTAACTGGCGACCACCTGACCGATGAGCCCCGTGGAGATGCAACAGGCGACCGCATGGGGGAGATCCTTGGAGAACTGAAGAATAGCAGTCTTGGGGGCACCCCTTCCAGCCGTGGCAGGAGATCCCCTCCTACGCTGGACCACAGTGGCATGGAGATGGGAGATGCCGGTGGCTTTGTCAACGCTGCTGTGGGCAAAGATAAAACAGCCCAGGATCCGTGCAACAGAATCTCTGGCAGGGAAGCAGAGAGGGTGGGAGAAGCTTCTGGTGACACAGGAACATGGGAAAAGTAAGTTTGGTTGTTAGCGACACAAGGCCAGATCCTGGCCTCACTGAGATAGGTGGCCAAACTCCCAGTCCCCCTCCCACACAGATCTGGGACAAGCATTCAGCCTTTAGATAGTGGAGAGGGTTGTGGGTTGTCTCAGAGTAAATATGAATTTGTTGTGGGCCCATATAGACAACGGGAAGCCTGTCAGATCCTGGGCAATGGTCTTTTTGTAGGGGGCCACTAGTTTGGGTTTTACTGAAGATCACTAAGCAAGCAGCATCTTATTTGCTCTTTACTGTTGCATTTAAGTGAGCCTCTTTGTCTCTGTTGTCAGGCCCTGTCACCCACAGCTGTAGCTGGGCTATACATCCTGGGATGTACAGTCACTGGGCCCCACTCCTGACCTTGTAAGTGAAAGGGCCGGGTTCTGCTTCCAGCTATGCCAGCGTAAATATGGAGGAGATCCAGTGTAAATGTGGAGGAACTCCAGTGGAAATCTGGACTAACGCCACTGAGGTCCATGGAGTTGCTTTGCACTTAACCTGGTGTACATGAGCGATCAGCATTGTGGCCCCTTCCAGTCCTCGGCCTCTTTAGGTCAAGTCCGTCAACAAGTGGGACAATCAGTGCCAGTTGTGCTGGTGTTTTAAATGTGATTCCGCCTCTTCGCTTTGAACTGGGCGAAGGCCTTGTTCTCGTGGTTGGAGTGAGTGAGCGAGCGTGTGGTCACTTGAGTGCCATCCTGTTCATGAGCACCCAGCCACGCGTAACTGTGTTCTGGGTTCAGGGCTGGGATCTCACAGGTTCCGCGTGCTGACAACGAAGGAATCACACCGACTGCAGGACCCCTGGCACTGACCGCCCAGGACTTCTGTGCCAAGGAAGAGAGAGAGCACCTCCTGAAAGGTGAGGAATGGTAGAGAGGCTGTAGATAAAGGGAATCCCTCCTGATCCATTTGGGAATTACGTCTCTTGAGAATTGTCAGGTATTCTGGTAGGTAGACGAGGTTTCCAAATACCTCGGTCTAGTCCTTCACATCCATGCTGATCCCTGAATCTTGAGAACTCAATTACTGTAGGCACTCTGTGCTGTATTGGGAAAGTCTCTGGGCTCGGTCCAATGGACATGGAGAGCAGGTCTCAGCATTGGGGAGGAGAAGCCACTGTGGATGCGTCAGAAGCAGAATAGAAGCCCTTTCCGTAGCCATGAAGAGTCCAGCTGAGAAATGACACTTTGATCCAAGTGCATTTATGTTCCTTATCACCACAGTATGTGACCACCCTTTATAACCCATTTTAGTTCATTTTATATGCTGTCATTTGTTTAAATACCAGGGGCTGAGTTCTCTACTGGCCTAACACCATTCACTTCACTGGAGATATGCCAACAAAGGGGTTGGCCCTTGATCATATAATGTATCTGGGACATGTATTACCCTTCCATATGGGATGTACGATGAGACCGCTCAGAGGATTCACTGCTTTATTTGTGGGGTTTTGTAAACAGAGGATCTAAATGGAGGATCTCCGAAGGCAGAGGTGTCTCCATGGAACAAACTCATCAACATGTACAAGCAGAGATGGAAGCTTCCTGTTCCTAAGGTTGGTTATATAATACAGAGCAGTGGGCTAAACTAACGGTGAGGTACTTTCACTTTTACTTTACAAGCAGGGATAAGCGCTCACCCGTTCGGAAAAGGAACTGTAAAAAGGACAGCCTGGGGCTCTCCTTTATTCCCTCGTGCTGGTCCCAGATATCGTTTGCTCTGCTTCCAAATCAAATCAGTGATTTTTACATTATATTTTTGCGACTGCTAATGCTGTAAACCCAACTGGGATCAGAAAATCCTACTGGGTCCTCTCTGCCTCTTTCATCCTTGCCCCTAATCGAGATTCTGCAGTCAGGGCCTAGCAAGATTTCTAGATTATGCCCCTGAAGTTCCTGCTAGAGATGACCTAAAGCCGCTGCTGGGTTAGGTAACTGCAAGCTGAGTGGTCCTGACAACACAGCTGGCCTCCCTGATTGCAATACGGAGGTGCCTTGGAGGCACTTAGAGCTGGGAAGGATGAAAAAATGAATGCTAAAACCTAAGTAGTGCAGTGTAGTGGTTAGAGCAGGGAACTGGTATTCAGGGCCTTTGGGTTCTATTCCCAGATCTGCTACTGACCCTCTGTGACCATAGTCAGTTAACTTCTCAAGGCATCTGTAAGATAAGGACACATATCACCTGACAGAGGTGTGCTGTGAGGCTTAATTCGCCTATCGAGTCCTTTGGACGAAAGGAGGTATGTCTGCAAAAGTCATTTTGCCTTCTTTGACAATCCCATTGAAAAGGCACCTGCAATTTCCTAATTAACATTCCAGCCAGTGCAAGAGGAGACACAATGATTCAATCTGACCCTTCTCCGAGGCCTTCAGTTCAAAGGGTGGCCAAATTCATAGCACTGGATGCTGTACAGTTCCCACTGTCCGGCATTACCTCTGTTAAATGTCATAGCAAGGCAGTTTGAGTGACACCAAAAAGGGTTCTGAGATGGAGGCAAGTGGTTCGGTCTCACACAGATAGACTATAAATGGGTCCAACCGAGCCCCATTTCTCTACTGCAAGGAGTGCTACATTTGACCCTCCAGGCCCCACTCTTACTCAGACACTCAAATATGCACTTCTCTGTCTGGCTAGATTTCTAGGTGCTATCTGTCTTCAGCACTTATACGGCCCTTTTATCATAGTATCTGGGCACCTCGCAGCACCTCTGAAAGGCAGAGCAATGCTACTACCCCCTTTTTATAGATGGGGAACTGAGGCACAGAGAGACTAAGTGACTTGGCCAAGGTCATAGAGGAAATCTGTAGCAGAGCAGGGACTTAAACCCAGGTCTTCTCAGTCCTGGGCCAGTCCTCTAGACACTGGGCCATCCTTTCTTTGCTGCTGCCTTCCTCAATACTGTCTGCAGTACAATATGTTTGTTCAGCCAAGAGACTTTGTCACTTTAAAGCTGACCCAGGAACTGGTAGAGCTGCAGGAAGTGAACTCAGGGTAGCTGAGGAGTTAGCAACTCAATAAAGCAGTTGTGTATGAGCATTTCTCTGCCTAGGTGCGGAAATGTCATAGCATTTGGGTGCAAGACAATGAAGAAGTCAGGCCCCATCTCTGCTGCAATGTGGGTTGTATTAAGACACCATCTTCAAGAAATGATCTGTTGGCCAGTGACACACAGCATGGACAGGGGCAAGGTTTTTAAAATGGTGCAGGGAAACTGTCCTAGATCAAAGGATTTTTGTTAGATTTCCCCTGCCCATGTCAGCCAGCAGAACCACCTTACGGGATCTGAAGCTGTTTGACAAACTGGGGGAGGTAGGAATGTCCAGTGGTGAGAACAGGGGACTGGGAGTCAGAAGACTTGGCTCTGAGCTCTGTCACTGGCGCTGTGTGTGACCCTGGGCAATTTGTCCCCCCCCCACCCTGTTTGTGCCTCAGTTTCCCCATCTGTAACAGGGACAATAACATATTCTACAAGATAAAATCTGTTGAGATCCTTTGATAGAAATCTCGATATAGAAGGACAATGTGTTTCAAGGTCAGCTTCTGAAAATAGTTTCCCGACTTGATTCAAACTGCAGTGTCGAAAGTGCCTTGATGCAAGTCCCTTTTCTCTATTCTCACCTGTCCTCAACCTCCATTTTCCTGCACTTCCATCTCCAGGAACACCCAGTGCAGCTGGAAATGGAAGAGGGAGCCACTCTGAATCTAACTGTTTATGAATTTGCAACACCCGAGCCTCATCTCATCTCTTCAGAATCCTCCGGTACTGCCCTGATCTATAGGTGAGATCCACCACGCTCTTCGACAAAGAAAGGAAGCATACACACAACCCCAATCAGACACGGTCCAAATTCTGTCTAGTTTCACAAAGCCGAACTGTATTTCAGAATTTTTTCAGGACAAGCGATGCAGTTACCAGTGCAGTTGAAAGAAAAGGAGGACTTGTGGCACCTTAGAGACTAACCAATTTATTTGAGCATAAGCTTTCGTGAGCTGCAGCTCACTTCATCGGATGCAGTTAGTTGAGAGAATGTGCTGAACTGGAAGCCGAAGCGTGGTCATACTTTCTCTGACCACTAGGTGGCACCGTGTGACTTAAAAAACCGAACCCAGAGATGGGCTGAAAATGTCTTCAGTACAGCTGAGTGGTGTGCGTTTGAACAGGGTCCCTTAGAGAGGGGGAAATTGATCTCCAAACCCACATGGGCCAAATCATCTATTTCCCAAAATAGACTGAATAAATATTTCCCCATGTACATTAGTGAATAAGCTATCCTGGTGTTCAAATACACAGAATACAAGACAGTATAATAGAAAACATTGTGATGCTGTCCTGGCTAGCTGCTTGGAATTTATTGGCAACAACAGGGCTAAAGGAAAATCACAAACTGAGAGCAGCAGGGATCCTGACCCACTCTTGAGCAGTTCCCATTCCATCCAATAGAGGGCAGCGGTTTACACACACACACACACACACACACACACTCACAGGCACACACTTATCTCTATGGGAAGCAACCTAGAGGTAAATATGTGAATGTTTCTGCACAGCTTCCTGTATCACTGAGCTATACTAAAACCACTGATCTCATACCGTGGGCCGCACATTAACCGTGAGCTTGTACTTTGGGGCTGGAAATGCCTCTTTGTTCTGTGTCTGTACAGCACCTAGCACAATGGGGCCCTGGTTCACGATTGGGACTCTAGGTGCTGCCGCAGTACAAATAATAAAGATAAATAATTAAGATGTTATTGCAAAAAAGCCAGTGCTTTACCGGGCTGCACATATATAATTCCCCTTTAGCATCAGCCTTGGTCAGACCATAGGTATTTCTGTCCTGTGCAGGTGCTTCTTGTTAAGGATTCATTTCAGACAATGGGTGAGGCAGAATATACTCTAGCTCACTCTCCTATAACTGCATCTGCAGGAGGACAGGTCGGTTTGTGTTAGTCAAGTCACATGCTCTGACTTGATGATACACAGGGCGTTCATACAGTTAGTAAGAAGGTGCCATTTTTTAAAGTCACTGATGACAAGTGCTTTAAGAGGAGTCCAGGTGTACTTCATTCCCAGCTCTCCGGCTCTGAAATGAACTGGTCGCTCTCAGACATCCAGAATATATAAACCATGACCTCATGCACATCCTGGCATTCTAAGCAGAGGCCAAGAAATAAGTGGGTCAGAGAGAGCGAAATCCCTTTTTGTCCATGGTGGAGATCTCAAAGCTGAAGTTATTATTGCTGTGCTGTATCTAGGCTCTGGATGAAGAGAGGAAATCAGTCTCCAGGCCCAGCACTTTTCACTTACACTAAATTTGCCTAATCAGTTAAAAACACAACAGACCCAGGCCTCCCTCTTGTAATAGCTGCGGTACGGTGTGCTACATTAGTCAAGGGATCTCTTTGCCCATGTCCAGAGAATCCAGCCGAAGCCAGGCTGTGCTTTTCAAGCATTTGGAGAGCATCGCTGTTACCTGGTTAGAACAAAAGAATTTACAAATATGTTTTGTGATATTCTGTTGTACAAACAAGGGAACAAAGAGGGGGTGCCTGCTGCCACGTGGAGCTATTGTGTGGCAGCTAAAGCCATGTACGTTCCAAGTGTCCAAGTCCTATAGAAGTTCTTTGTACAGCCACACAACACCTGGGGATGGAAAAGGCCTGCTGATCATTTATCCATCTCCTTTCCCCTCACCTCCCAGTGCAAGATTGTTTGCTATAGTCCATTCCCCAGGGCTTTTGTGTGTCTGTTTGGAAATGTGCCAGGTATCGGTCTCCCACCCCTTCCCTTGGAGGTTGAATCCAACATCTAATGGAGCTTCCTTTAAATCAAGCTAAATCATGAACGGCTACATCTTTGTGGGCTGAGAAGGGTGAAGTATGGGAACCACGTAAACCTGCTGCCTAGACTCCTGCGGACACACAAACAGAGTTCTCCTCTCCTCCACATGGGCAGCCACTGGGGAGAGGTCCTACAGGCCTGTAATGTGGGAATCTCTTTGTCGGGCTAACGACCCATTAGCTCCTGAGGGCTCTTGCTGATGCAGGAGAGGTAGTTAGTTCAACTGCTCTCAGGCTGTGGGACAGGCTGACCTTACTGTTTAATAGGTGTATTGTCTGTTAAGTGTTGTTTTATCTATGACCATTATCAGAGAGCTGGAGCATGCTCAGACACTGACTAGGGAGCTTGTTTCTGGGTCTGCTAGCTGGCAGTAAGATTAGAAAGTCTGAAGGTGTAGAATGGGCTTGGGACTTACCCACTTTTCAATGGAGGAGAAACATACTGGTGCACAGACAGTGGGCCCAGTTCTGTTCTGAGTCACAGCAGTGCACATCCAGAGTCACTCGCTGGGCTGCAGGGGAGAGATTTCTGGTTCTCACTGCTCAGGATCAGAATTTGGCTCTGTGCCACTTCTATTCAGCGCGTTCAATATCTGTCACGTTTATTGCTGGAGGCAGCATGTTCTAATGACTGTGACGGGATGGAGTCAGGACTCCTGGGTTCTAGTCCCAGCTCCGCCACTGAGTCGCTCTCTTTTAACCTCGTCCGTAAACTGGGGATAATATTTAGTTTGCAGAGGATTTATGAGGCTTCATCCACTAAGTGTTTGGACGATGCTAGATTAGTGCAAAGTATTATTCCTAGTTTCTTGAGCACGTGTGGGGTAAATTCCAGTGATTGTCTCTCCTGATGAACTTATTTCTCCAATCCAGGTTTCCCGATGACAGAGCTGGGGAAACTGTTGGCCACTTTGGGAGAGCCCAGGGAGACCTGAGGACCAATGGACTGGAAGCTGCTGAAGCAGACTGAGGTCAGTCAGGAACAGAAGAGCAGTCTGGACTGGGCCACCGAGTTGCAGCCCCCAGGAGTGCTGTGAGATTGGGCACTGGTGCCCTGCACGTTCCCTTTTCTTACGGGGCTGCTGTTTGTCGATCCAAGTTACACTCTGGTGGTAAACGGCTCCTTTGTACGGGGTGTTTTGAGTGTTCAAAATGCCAGCCCCACACCTAGATCTCCGAGGCTGGGTCTGCACTGCAGATTGCTGGCAGCGGGGTGTAAGTTATGTGTGGCTCCAGGCCACGGTGAACAGTAGGCTGCGTCCGCATGGTGGGGTGTCACTATGTGCCTCAGTGAAAGGCTCCGGCAGAGGCGAGACAGTGGGAAAAGGCTCCTTTCCCCTCTTCCTCCCCGCTGCCAGAGCCTTTCCCCACTGCTGGAGCCTTTTCCTGCGGGGGGGGGGGGAGACTCCAGCAGCAGGGAGGCAGCGGGACGCTACGCTGCTAAAGATAGCGGTATAGATGGGGGAGGCGCTGCTTGGCTTGCAGAGGGCCGCGTAGGGTACGTACCGTCTTTACTCACCTAAGCTGCACCTCACCGTCTACACCGCTGTTGAGAGCCATGCTGGGGAGCTGCTGGGGTGTGTACTCTACATGCTGCCATAAACTGTGTGCAGGGTAGACACACCCATAGAGTTTAGGGGTGGAAGAGACCATTAGATCATCTAGTCTGACCTCTTCAGGCCATTGTATTGCACCAGTTCCCCGGGGAAGCCCCAAAACTTGGGTTAAACTAAAGCATTTCAGTCCTCAGCAGACGACATTGTTGCATGCCACAGGGCAGAGGAGAGGCGAGAGCGAAGGCGGGGGATTGATTAGGTGGGATATGCCCAGATGGCCTGTGCTCTTCTGGTTACATCAGCTGACGAGGCGGCAGGACTCCTGGGTTCTTTTCCTGCCTCTGCTGCTGTTGACTGTGTGACCAAGGCTGAGTCCCGATGGCCAAGGCTTTTGAAAGAAGGGGACCTCAAGTTAGGCTCTAAGTCTATATTTAGGCACCCAAATAGATGAGCTGATTTTCAATGGTGCTGAACGCCCAGCAGCTCCCACTAAAGCTCCCATAGGAGCTCAGCACTTTGAAAATCAGGCCACTTATTTAGGTGACTAAACGTTGGACTCAGGAACCTAAGTTTAGGCCTCAACCACCCGTGCCTCAGTTTCCCCATTTATCCAATGGAATGTATAACAGTTGTTCTTCTCAGGCATGTTGCTGGAGTTAGTGCAGTGTTTATAAAATGCCTAGAGATCCTGGGAGGAAGTTCAGCATGCTATAAAATCATTGGTGAAAGAAACCGCCAGTCCCTAGGAGGAGGAAGAGTGGTGACTTTTCAAACATTAGTCTTAAAAAAACGGTACTGTGCTTGTGGTTCCATATCACTCCCATTGCCCGAGTCCAGCGCTGGGGCAAGGCCGGAGCCGGTAGGGATCAGCAAGCTCCCTTATAAAGCGTGGACAAATGGAAGCAAGGACAAAGCTACTTCCTCCCTACCCCACGTGGGAAAACCCCATCTGGAATGCAGCAAAGCATAGCGCAGCCCTCCGCGAAGCAGCTGGGCTCCTGTGCCCACTCCCCGGCCCTGTGCGGGTGGGTGGGTGCGGAATTCTTTGCAGGATTTTGTTTCTCGCTCGATCAAAGTGCAATTGTTTGTCTTTTATCTGGTAGCTGCGTGTGGGGGGTGGGGGGAGGGGAAGCACCCAATTATCATTTTAAAAACCTCGTGCGGAGGCGGCTGCTTTGCCTTGTCTCATCCAGAACGTGGCATGTAGGGGTTTTTTCCCCGCACACGAGCCTGGACGCGGCTGGCTCTCTGTGTGATGGGCGGGCAGCGGCAGTTTGTATAAGAGCTTGTGATGGCATCTGGGGACTTACTGCTAAGGACGATTATAGCTTCTTCTGCCCCTCCCCTGCCCCAGCCAATCAATGCTCTTCCTCCCCTCCTCCGAACTGTGTTCCCAGGGTGTGGGTGTGATCCTGACCCTGTGCACAGCCGCAGCGCCTGTCCTCTGAGGCTCTCGGAGGGCTCTGCATGCAGTAATTAAGCCAGCGAGGTGGATAGGTGTGATCTTCATTTGCAGATGGTAAACTGAGGCACAGAGGTTAAGGGCTGGATTTCCAGGGGCCCGGAAGCCAACAGGGACCCGCCGGTGTTGGCATCTCTGAAACTGAGGCCATATAGCGACTATGGCAACAAACTGAGTCAGTGGGACTAGAACCCAGAGTCCTTCCGCACCCATTCTCACTGTCAAGGGCGGAGCCGGGGGCAAGCGCAGGAGGGGACGAGTGTGAGCACCAGACCAGCCAGAGGGAGAGGAACCCTTGGGCCTCATCAATACTAGTAACTGTAGGGCCCATTTTTCAGCACTGGTGCTAGCAGCGGGACAAGCCAGTGAAGTCCAGGCTCCGCGCCCTTTTCCGGCCCCGGCCTCAGGGCCCCGTGCTGGGAATGCCTGAGCCCAGTCTACACTGACACTCGTGCCCCTGCTCGTAACAGCTTCTGAGGTGAAATGGCAACAAATGGAAAGGGACGTGAAGAGCCATGGGGAAGGGGAGCAACTCTTCAGCTGGGGGCTGGAGCGAGCCGGAGCCAGTGAGGTTTGGGGAGCCGGTGCACACGGCTGGACGTGCAGAGGAGAAGGCTCTTGCACCTGTGATGCCACGATTGTGGGAGGGGAGCATGGAGGCCATTGGCGGGTGAGCAGAAGGGGAAGGGGAGAGACTCCAGATTCATAGACTTCCAGGCCAGAAGGGACCAGTATGAACATCTTGGCTGACCTCCGAGAACCTACTTCAGTAGAGACTGACCATCCCTCTTCCATACACATGAGACTGGCCCTCGGAGCAGGATTCACTTCTCAGTTCCCTTGTGTGCCAGGAGCTGGTGGGATTGGGCAGCAGGCAGTGATATTGGTCAGACAGCTCTGCATTCGCCAGTGTGATTCCATAACACGCTTTCTCTCTGCCCTGGCCAGAGCCTGCTCCTAGAAGAGATGGGACAGCGGCCCCAAGAACAAGCTTATGTTTTGATCACGGTGAGTCTGCAAGCCCCCTTCATCTAGCAGATGAAGATGAAGAAAGAAGATTGAGACCGGTTCTTTGGTCCCCACCAAGCTGGTGTCTGGGACAAAGCCTGTTAGCTGCAAGCTTGTTCCTGTTCCCTCTTTCAGTGTCTATGCCTCCCCCCTTTGAATGTTTATCCCCTTGCCTAGGCTGGCATCCACTGTATTTTTAGAGTAAGTGTTTTACGTTGATTGATTGTTCTCAGTTCCCCCTAAGATCACAGACTCCTCCCCCCTTATTAAATGGAGTTCTGTGTTGAATTAATTTCTTTCTTGATTTTGGGTTTTTTGTTGTTATTGTTGCTGCTGGTTCTTTGTATACTCCGTGTTCAAAAAATCATTTAGAAAATTGCAGGGAGCATAAAGATGGACAAATCTCTCCTGCCTTCCCCCACTCGTGGCCGAGTTTAGAGAGGAGAATAATCTATTGTTAGGTTACCTAGTCCACTTCCTCACCAAAGCAGGATTGACTAGGGATACAGAGCATCTTCCATTCACTTGGGGAAGGGAAAGAGAGGGAACCCCTCTGTTTGCTTTGGGGAATCTCCCCCGATTGCAGAGTGAGAAATGAGATCTCCTCTTCCCTGGCTCTGTCGCTCACTGGAGAGAGAGGAATCCCACCTCCTCCATTTGCTGATGGGTAGCCTGGGTATTAGGGGATGACAGAAACCCATCCCTCTTGTTACGGGGAGCCCCGGCTCTGTGCTGGTGTGGAGTCACTGCACCATCAGCAGTGTGCCACAATTGCCCGTCAGACACCCTTACACACAGGCTCTGCGACAAATGGTGGCCACAAACCCCGAGCCTGGGAGGTGGCGGCTGACCTCGCTTCATCCTGCACTTCCACCCCATGTTTGACCAGCGCTGGGCGCTTCAACCAGTGGCCTCGGGGAAGTGTTCTCCGAACTCTGCCTTGGCCTCAGTGAGGACACTGGGCCAATCCCCGGCTCTTCCGGACAGGCTGTGTGAGCTGAGCTGCAGCAGCGGCTGGCAGCCCAAGGCCCAGGCTAATCTGGGAATTGTATGACAGGAAGCACACGCCCAGCCAACCTGCCAGAAGACAAAGCCTGCAATATACAAATCAGCTCCCAGGGGTGTTCCTGTGCAGAGCTGCGGCTATTTTTGACTGTTTCCCAGCCCTAATGCCATGCTGGTTTAGTTCCAGGGGCTCCATGGAGGCTAGGGTACGAAGCAACCATGCACCTGCTTTTGCCACGTAGCTGTGGATGCAGGACTGTTGTGCTCCAGTATGGACAAGGCACCCAGATGACTCTCCATTTCTATCAATCCCTGCCCCTAAAACAGGGTCCCATATATTCTATGATGCTGCTGAATTTCCCACAGACACCCTCCCTCACCGCAGAATCGTGCTCCACCATCTAAACTTTCAGTGGTTTCAAAATATCTTACCTAGTTGTTGGGGCCACAATGTACCTTCTAAACCTGTATGTAATTCCTGAACCTGCCGACAGCCTGAAACAATGGCTTTGAGAGGTGTGAACTATCCCCGTTCACCACAGGGGGGCGTTTACTCCGGAACCAGGGTCAGCAGTTTACACGGCGACATGGTTCGTTATTTCACTGCCGATCATTTGCACAGAACTATCCAGCCAGCATGCAACATCCCACATTCCCAGCCTGCCTTCCGGGGTGCCCAAAGCCACAGGTAACTTCTGCCCACCTGTCGGAACCTCCAGCCAAACCTCCAGACCAGTTCTGTGCCATCAATGCAACAACCCGCAGCACACGGAAAACTAGCGATTGAAGGACAGAGACAAGGAATTGAATTTGACATAAACATAAGTCACTTCTACCCTGCCTGTGTTTTGGGTCGGTGAACACCCCCATTTTGTAATTGACCTGGACTTCCAGCGTACTGCACCAGAGTGCTAGAGAATCCAGGTGCAGAATGCTGCGGTGACCACAGGCCCTTAACCCAAAGGTAACCTTTAGGGAGTGACACTGTCTGTTCCCACAGTGCTTTCTCCAGGATACAGCTCGATTTAAGGCCTGGCCTAGCTTCATCTCCGAGGAATCCACCTCCCGCGTTGTGAAACCATTTTGTGGCCGAGCCGGTCACTTGGTTGGAGGCAGAAGTGTAACATCTTCCAAGATAGGCACTGGCCCTTCTGTCTTAGAGAGGCACCTCGCTGGACCCAATAGCCCTCTGTGCAGAGAAGGATGGGGCTGGAATTTAATGCTGCAGCAACAGCTCTCTCGCTGTCAAGTGGTAAATGCAGCAGTAATTAAATGGGAGACTAAGGTGATCAGCTAAGACTGACGTCAAAGGGAAATGGGATGGCTCCATGAATCCATCTGGAGGAAACTCAGGTGTTTACCTTGTATGACTGTGATTTCTAACTCAGGCTTATGCAATAGAGCATGCTCTCAGGAGCAGCTCAGGGCTGGGAAGTGAAGCTGAGCAGTGCTTACCTGAAGGCCCTGTAAATCTGGAGTAGCTCCAATCCAGGAAGTGAGGTTAGTCTGAATTTACATTTGCCTAACCAAGATCAGAATCGGTGGAGTTTTAATAGTAATACTTAGCTTGCCCAAGGTCACTCAGCAGGCCCATGGCAGAAATAGAAATAGACCCCAGGTTTCCTGAGTTCCAGGCCAGTGCTCTATCCACTAGGTCACACTATCTCACACTGCCTTTTAGCCTGACATAAGGCCCACCCCTGTGGTCCTTACATGGGCATAACTCCACTTGCCTTCAGCAAGCCTTTAGCAAAGTATTTCACAAGAGGCTATTGAAGAAATCAAAGTGCCACAGGTGAAAAGCAAAGGGCCGTCGTTGATTAGAAAATGGCTAAAGACAGCTTTGGAATAACACTTGTCAGGACAACAAGGAGTCCAGTGGCACCTTAAAGACGAACAGATTTATTTGGGCATAAGCTTTTGTGGATGCACCTGAAGAAGTGAGGTTTTTTACCCACAAAAGCTTATGCCCAAATAAATCTGTTAGTCTTTCAGGTGCCACCAGACTCCTTGCTGTTTTCATGGATACAGACTAACACGGCTCCCCCCCGATACTTGTCAGGGCAAAAGCTTATAGTCGGGTCCCCCTGGATTCGACTCTAGGGCTGCTGAAATTTGGTATATCTGGTGTATATATATATAAAAATAACATATATGCCTGGATAAGGGGTGAGCAGTGAGATGGCAGAGTTTGGAGAGGACACACCATTATGTAGGTCAAAGCCAGAGGAGCTGGCGAGGAACGTCAGAAGTTCTAAATAAAGCCAGGTGAGTGGACAAGCTGATGGCAGATGCATGGTAATGCACATTGCAGTGACCAACTAGAGATCATTGCCACAAGATGTCTTTGAGGCTATGAGCTCAAAAAGGGATTGGACATTTATATGGCCACTGAGAACAGTCCTGGCTATCTTAAATGGGTTCGCAAAAAGAAAAGGAGGACTTGTGGCACCTTAGAGACTAACCAATTTATTTGAGCATGAGCTTTCGTGAGCTACAGCTCACTTCATCAGATGCATATGATTATTCCAAATCCTCCTGTCGGGACATAAACCAACAAGGAAGATTTTCCTGTCAGCAGGTTCCTCCATAATGATTCACTACAGGAGTTCATGCACCTTCCTGTGAAGCAGATGCTGTTGGTCTCTCTCAGATGGGAGGCTGGACTAGATGGACCTCAGGCCTGATCTATTCCTGATGGGAATCTTTCCTGCATAAAGATAGTAGGATTTGACCTCTGAACTTTATAATATAATTCTACCTTGCTCTTATCGCTAGATCTCCCAGTACTTTACAAAGTATCATTAATCCCATTTCACAGGTAGAGAAACTGAGGCATCCACAGGAAAGTCATTTGCACAAGGTCACCCAGCAGGCCCGAGACAGAGCTGGGAATTGATTCCAAATCAAGTGCGCTATCCCCTGGACTATGCTGCCTTCCAGTGAAATTTAGACTCTGAAAGGAATGGTCATGGAATATAATTCTCCAATTAACAAACCCTTCTGCCCTCTGCCCACCCGACAGTCTGAAGGTGCTTGTCATTAACAAAGTGGTACAACGTTTGCTTTGCAAGTAAATGTGTGTCAACTAGTGTGAATGTCAAGGTTTGGCACTCTTGAGCCGTATGTCCTTAGTGGTGTTAATTGGAAGTAAATTTACTGAGTTACTCTGAATTATTCCACCAAGAGTGAGATCAGAATCTGGCCCATTTAGTTCACAAGAAGCTGTAAGATCACATTGCATTCCTACATTCTGTAAAATGTATTTTAAGAACTTTTTGTTTACAAACATTCATGTGACACTTGAGAGCAAATCTGGGACATGAACAAATGCTGTGTAATATCCAACCCTCTGTTAACCTCATTTTTTCCATCTGTTGATATAACTAGATTATCAAATGCTGGAGCACACAAAGCACATCTTATTGAGAAGATCCAGGCTCCAGTGGTAGGTGCCACCCTGGGATTTGGGAGCCCTGCGTTTAAGGCCCTTTGCTGCCATAGATTTCTTGCATGACCTAGTGTCATGAAACACTCAGTCTCTTTGGCCAGGTCCTCAAAAGTACATAGGTGCCTAACTCCCATTGAAGTCATCAAAATACCTGTGTGCCCCTGGAATGTGTCAGGGTTCAATCCAGAACAGTGAGGAGTTGTCACCCCTGCAATTTAGGGTGGCGTAAGTTTTATTCTGCCGTGGCTCACAGTCCTGACACCCGCAGCCAGCATACAAGTCACATGCTGGCTTGTACTGACCAGTTACTTTTGGTAAAGTGACCTCAACACCTGCCTCTCCCAACTTTTCCCCAAACCGTCTCCCTGCAGAATTCAGCTGTCTCACTGAACGCTCACAGAAGTTAAGTCCATTGCTCTTTTAAAGAGATAATACACTGCAGTTTATTAGTTTAACTGGGGTTTGACAAACATTCTTATTTCAATCACAGCACTGGATTGGTTTATAGTGTAAAAGTAAAACAAGTTTATTAAACAAAAAGTGAAGTGATACCAAGTATGAGGAGTAAGGATACAAATGGTTACAAAGAAAAGTAAAAATAGGTATCTAAGACTAAAACGTAGTGTCAGCCAGTTACAATCTTTTCCTATGACAGGTTTCAGAGGAACAGCCGTGTTAGTCTGTATTCGCAAAAAGAAAAGGAGTACTTGTGGCACCTTAGAGACTAACCAATTTATTTGAGCATGAGCTTTCGTGAGCTACAGCTCACTTCATCAGATGTATACCGTGGAAAC